ACCTCCGCATGCTCTTTGTCTCTTCTTCGCGGTTCTTGGATCATGTTTTTTCGGTTTTTTAGTTGTTTGGTTCTGTTCATTTTTACTGGGGGTCTGCACAAAACAAAGTTTTTTGCTACCATACCAAGAGTAGAGATGTCTTAATTTTACAAGGGGACCCTTTGAGAAAATTGAGAAGTACGCTACAATCAAATTGTGTGATGTATCACAAGCTGACATGATTCTATTCCGGATCTGTTTGACAAGCCAGTAATATCATCTAATCATTCGCGCCCCGGATTTCAGGGGCCGTCCAAGGGGCAGATTCCATAGTGGCAGCTCGTGGCGAATGAACCAGGTGTTTGAGCAAAGGGGAAATCATCATGTGACTCATGTGGCCAATATTTTAATATTGATCTCGGCGTTTCGACACAACCAATACTGCAATTATTTGCCAATGATAAGCTTGAAGATGTTTGTGCTGACTCCGAAATACATCAGCTTGAGGAAAGAGCACAGTCTTGTTCATGATTTTCAGTAGTTGTACGCCACTCCCAGCAACTTCTTGCGGTCAACTAGTGCTACTTGGGAATTGACAGTTGAGGAGGCATGCCGCATCTGCATTTCAGAGGTATATGAGTTGCCGGATCGGCAACAGCTCAATGTCTGACACAGGCTGGAGATGTTAGCAGAGTCTATCTTGCCCATATTGTGTTGGGAGGCTTCCCAACACCACATTGGTGTGGTACACAGGGGTCGTAGTTCCGGAAGATGTCAATCATGACATCAGCAATACGTATGTTTTTAGAGCCACCCTGGGGCTGTTGAAGACAAAAACCCAATGAACACAAACAGCGAATGAAGACAAGCGCAGACATGAGCCAAGCTTAAGCAGGAGTGGGCTCCATGTTGCGTGCAATATTGAATTGTTTGCAGGATTTGAGGCATGTTGGGATTTATGTAGGTTTGGGATTTTTGTGCCAGTTTGCTTTTTCAGCATCATGCCTGAGTACACGCAAACATATCGCAGAGCAGGATGAACAGGATAAATCGTTCTACAGTTGTCAGTCTGCACTGGATGCTTCAATTGAAGACCTCAATCGCTTAACCGAAATCCTGAACCAACATTTCTATGTTGAATTTGTGTCCTTCTCTGCCGGCATGTCTTCACCAATGTCCTGTTGACACCTGCAATCTCCACCAACACATAAAATCCAGTGATGTTTCACATGGCGCTCAAAATCCACAGGATAATTAAGCCCAAAACCCGCCCCCATGGCTGGGCAAATCGAATCGCTTCACATTGCTTTCGCCGACCAGCTAAGGAAGTGTCCATTGAGCTGGAGCGTTGGAGATAAGCGCGGCTGGCCAAAGAAGCCAGCCCAGGCTGCGAAGAAGGCTGAAGATGCCCAGTGCCATCGCTCAGAGCTATGCCAGTCAGACTAGCTGACTCGCTTGTTAGGACATGGAAAAGGCGCGCCCGACTTTGAGTTGGCCCGGTGCTATATGGGGATGGCGGGACACTTTGTGCTTCAGGGCCCGCCTAAGTCCGGCATAGCTAGGGGATCTCATTGAAAAGCCCCGTGAGCGTTTGGATCTACGGTGGGATCATGCAGCTGTGTCAAGGAGTCCTCTTGCAGGCTACGGGAGGGGCACAGGGTCAACTGTTGCCGTTGCGAAAGTAAGTGGCCAGCTCCAATAGCCCTTGCTTTGAGCAGAAGATGGGGCGGTAGGGAAGGGGACACGGGAAATTGGTATTCAATGCCAGCGCGGAGTAGTCAAATCGGCATGCAAGTGGTGCAGGTAGGGCCGTTGTTGGCGAATGCACAGGTACTGCCACCAGCACCTGATCTATGTGAGATGTCCGCCCTTGTACCGACTGATTCAGGAGCTGCCCTTTGCTTCAGCCAGCAACCTCAAGAAACAAACACACGCAAACAAATCAGTTTCTTTACTTCGAGCCGTCCCCGCCTTGGCATGTCATGATCAGTTGGTCTCTCACAGCTGTCTAGGTCACTGCTGTCCGGTTGGGCCGCTGGCGGGAACGTCCAAACACCTGGAGGTGTTGCAACTTCCGCTGCGCCACTGAGGGAGACTCAGTCAGATTTTGGCCGCCACAGCACACGGTCATCTGTCATGGCCAGAGGGTTGGCCCAACACTGTCGCAAGATTCGGAAGGTTTGCGCCGCACTAAAATTGAGCATCGCGGGCTTACTTCTGGTTGCAGATGTTTGGGTCGTGCTACCGGCGTCAGACCAGACTCTGAGACTGATGCCGGTGGGCCGCGCCGCTGGTGGGAACATCAGAGTCTGGCCTGGGCCACCTAAAAGGTCACAGGCTGTTAAAAAACCTGGGGGCGAAAGCTGGGTCACACGTGTTTTCCCCTGGCTTTTCTGCAATTTGTCATCTCTGGCTCATGCTTGGCAGTGAACGGGAGAATTAGGACAGCATCGTTTTCATGCATAAATGGTTAAAAACCAAATGTTATTTGCGTAGTTGCAGTTCAATTGCTCGAAAATCTGAACCAACAAGCTGCAGCCGACGGTCACGGCTGAAATCCTTCCCAATCGGAAGCCGATGCTCCAAACAAGCTGTGCCTATGGCGAAACACATTAGAGTGAAGCTGGGTTGTTGTATAGACTTGCAATGATTGCCACCCTTTGTCCATACATTGAGCCCCCACTATGCTGCAAATGGGTCGTTTGCGTGCTCTCGTCACAGAGACTCTTCTAGCAAGCTCATGTTTGCTGGGTTGGACATTGGTGGCTCTCCAGACGCGTTTTGCCAGCATCTGCAACCAACATTGGCCATGCATCAACCTGTGTGCACTGGCATGTGTGTTCGCGTGCGCGCAAGCCTTTCGTAACGACGGTAAAATCCTCCCCCCCCCCCACCCCCCCACCCCCCGCCCCCCCACCCCCCGCCCCACCCCCCCCCCCCACCCACCCCCATCCCCCACTCACAACTGCAACTCGACATATCATAGCCGAAAAACAAAAAACACTAAAAGTACCAGGTTTTTTACCAGCCTGTTTCCACCTAAAACCCCCTGCAATCGGCTTCCTCAAGTTGTCTAGCACAAGACCTTTGCCTCAGGGAAACCAACTAGCAGGGATACAGGGGGAACCAGGGATACGGGAGGATTCTCCCTAAATGCACCTTGACTAAGTTTAATATGGGAAATGGCCCCAAAAAGTCCCCCCCCCTATCCCCACTCCCTCCGTCCCGCCTGTTCGTTTGTCCAATTTGCATGAATGGCCTTGAATTCACCGCCGGACGGCGCATCTCAGGGACTGCCTGTCACTCACTCCAAAGCATGCGATCACGTTTCCCTAGGAGCGTGCGGTCGGGCCGACAGTGGTGCCCCGCCCACCAGGCGACGGGATGGAGGATGGGATGCAGAGGCATTCTCTAGCCTTGAGTTTCAGTAGAATGTCATGCTTCCCAACTGTTTCCATGGATGTACTTGGATATTGTTGGGGCCGACTCATTCTGACACTGTTGCGGGAAGGGCTTGTGGAGTACTCGGAAAGGATAGCATGGCTAAAACGCTGGTCATGCCGGTCCAGCAAAAGATCGCAAATGGATACCAACTGCAAGCAACACGGCTGCACAAGCCACAGCGGGTATATCCTCCTCTGGCATTTGTGAATGCTCGCCAGAACAAGAGCCATGTCCGTCATTCGCAGCAACTCAGTACCTTGACAAATCTGTGACTGTTGTTCTGATTTATCTTGCTTCTCAGCAGGGATTGAGAAATGGAACAAAAAACACATCCATCCTATGGTTTCCTTAGGGAATTCCCAAAACCGGTTCATTGCCAACACCCGGACTCGGTCATTCCCTATCGCACCGGCAACTGTGCCAGGCGATGCTGCTGACCTGGATTCCCTGCTCCGGGTGCGGCCGAGTATTGGGGGCGACTCGCAAAACGGCACCCGTAGAACAAGATTGGACGGAATTTGGGCTTGAGATGACGGCAGTGATTGGCTAGGAATACCCTCACTCCCACATGGCACCTGACAGGGAGTCCCTACAAGAGGAACACGATCTTCCAGGTACCCTCCCACAGGTGCTATGTTAGTGGACGGGAGCGTAGCTATTAGCAATACAAACACGTGTCGGGTCAGCATGAGACTAGACAAAGATGCATAGTGTGTAGCAGTGTGCAGCCTTCGACCTGATCTCTTTGAGGCTGGGCACAAAGATTGTCGATTACTAGTGCCGAAACCAGCAAACTACCTTTCTTGCTTTGTTGTCCATGTTGGCCAGAGTCGTGTTTCTTGCCAGAGTCGTGTTTCCTCCGCTATTTTCTTGGTAGCCTACGCAACAGTGAATTATTGTTTGACCCATGTGATGTGAGAACACATCCTACACTATCAACAAACCTAGGTTTAAACCAGTGTTCCGCGTAATCCATTGTCCTAGTAAACTTCATAGAAGCATGCTTCTACCATGGCTTCCTTTGTAAACACGCTGCTTTCCAAAGCAACTTATTGGCTTACCAATGCTTACGTGCTCAGTGCCTTCCCCTGAGCAGCCTGCCATTTCTTAGAGCTATACATCATGATGTCTGTGGCATTGTCTCAGGTGTGTGTTTTGCGTGAGTTTTGCTCAAGTGATTTGACAATGTGTTGGTTCAACATGGTTTGACTGTCTTTGTCTTTGCGCAAGCACTGCGAGAGGATGTTCAAAAAGTAGCTAGATCTAGCTAGCTTCACCACGCGGCCACACGCCCATGCTTTCAGCTGTCCTGTCATACGTGCATGTTGCACCGTGTTTTGATTTGTTGCGAATCTGATTGACCTTACCACCTTTTGGCCGTCACAGCCACAGCAGCGGCCACTGCCACATTGCAGTTGCTGAGGTCAGAGCTTTTCGCAAGTACAGATGCTGGCAGGGATTATGCAGCAAGATACAACAACTGCATAGCTGCAGCAATCTTAGGTTCAATACCATAAACACATATCATGATATACTGTGTGCATTTGGTTCTAAAGTATCATGTAGATCACTACCTGAAGCCTTTCTTGCTTTAGTTTGATGTTTTTTTCCCCCCGCAGTTCTTAGCTCGGAAGGTTTCCCTCGTCCCGTGACTCATGGCACTCACCGCGAAGATCGGGCAGCCGCGTCCCAAGCTTTCGAGGCCTCATACCTCGGAGCTTCAGCAGCGGAATGCCTGGCTGACGAAATCCATTCCGGAGCACTCGCGGGCATTGAGTGCGACCCTGGACGGGCCACACCCGCTGCGCATGGCGCGTGCGGCCTCCACGCATTTCATCGAAGGAAGGAAGACCGAAACAACTCCAGACCCTCGGTGGTTCAAGTCCGCGGCCACGAGTTTCGCCAAGTATGGGATTTACCCGGGACAAGGCTTGAAGGGCATGTACATGCGCGACCCCCACACCGGGGTTTGGTTTAAAGATACACCCGAGCGTTTGTGGAACAAGGAGAAGGAAGTGCCAAAGCCCAGCTCCGTCGCCAAGAGCAGCCAGAACTTCGTGCCCCTGTACGCTCTCCATGTCCACCTGCATGGCAAGCCCTAGTGAGAGTGAGAAACAGGGGAGCTCTAGCTGCGAGAGTGAGGAACATCAGGGACTGCCAAGGTAGCCGCTTGAGTGGTCCACCCTTGGGGGAGCTCATTGGATTCAGGGCCGCTGTATTGTTGTTAATTTGTGCCCCTTGAAGGTACCACCATTGTGCCCGGTGAATCAATTTGTGCCTGCAAACACTTCGAATGGAGTCGATGTAGATGGCACAGCCAAAGAGGACGTGTTGCTTGAGGGCTTTGTATGGGCGCTTCGCCCTTTAAGATCATTGGCCAGAACTGTTTTTCACCTCACAGTCCTGGAATGTTGGGGATGCGCCCCTGTCAAGCTTGTGATGCAACCAGCGGCATTATGCTGGCACCAAAGGTGCCAAATTAACATGAGGTGGTGCAGTCTGGAAGACCCGCAAGCTGCAGTAAGCAGTGGAAAGCCGGACAGTGTAGCGGTTGAAAAAGGACTTGCAGGGGATAGACAAAGCATACGTGGCGTGCTGTCTTGCGCTGAAACGATGCTTGCGACTTCTGATTAGAGCTGATTAACGATGTCTGCGCAAGTGGCCAGGATGTCAACGAGGACAGCTCCAAGGCATCCAGTTTCGTTCGTTTGGTTTTCTTTGGTCGAGCTCCCGGATTGATTTGTTGGATCCCAGTCGTGCCTTTTGGGGGTGCTCGTTGCTCTGCGTTGGGTGCACCATGTTTAAGATTTGATGTGGTTATATGTTTGGAAAGCTAGGATCCCAAGAAGCCGCTAAAGCCGGTTGGTTCTTGCTTCCCCTTTCGTTAGCGGTGGCTTGTCATTGTGCCTTAGCGGTCTGGACTTTGATTTATGATCCTTGTGCCCTTAGTTCTAGCCGGAGCGTGGTTCAAAGTGAATTGAGCTCCGTGGCTTGGCCCGGCTTTGCATGAGACATAAAGACTCAACATTGACATGGTCATGGTGCTGCGCGAAGCTGCATAGTGTCTTGCTGACGTTTGCCCCGTCACACAATGGCAGCGCTCGCTAAGTTGGAGTATCAAAAGACATGATGTCCCGACACCTGGGCACCTCTGGCGCAATGGCTTTTCTCCTCTCAACAGACCTTTCAAGAATTGCTGGCAGTGCCATGTTTTATCGGCATAGCTCCAAAGGACGCACCACTTTGTTCTAGGAAGGGCTGCTGACTGGCCGCAGATGCAGATGAATAGCGTGACCTTTAAAACGTCTCAAAGTACCACGGATTCATCATGGGTTCTATTACTCAGCCATAGGCGCATGGGACACTCTTGGACGTTGTTTGCTTCTAGATAGATATGGGCATGGGTCAAAATCCCGTACCACCAGTGAACATCCCAATCCCCACTGAAATATAGACTAACATTGGTGGTGTACCTACCCCAAAATGGGATCCCATTTGGCTATATCGTGTGTCCCGCCCGTTTGGGATAGTGTTGGCATAGACCTGAAGCTGGGATGCGGCCAGGTTCCTCAGCAACCGCCAGCCTGCTGGACAGAGCAGCGGCCTTGGCCTGCCTTGGATCCGAGGCAAGTGTCTCCATTTTGACGCAAAATGGCTGTGAGCTGGAGTAAGGAGCCTCACAATTTGGTGGACATGCATCCCCAGCTATATGACGTCCAACAAAGGTTTCTACTTCGAAATCATGCTCAGAGACGTGTCTAAGAGCCCAGAGTGCCCAGAGTGGCAAGGGTGATGCAAGCAATAGCGCTCAACAGATCCTCCGGCTGAGGGTTTGCGAAACGTCCGTACTGTCATCACTTGACAAGAAGTTGGTCGGAAGGATGTCCTTGTAGCATCCCTTTCGTGGGCTTGCAAGCCCTTTGCTTGCTTCGCTTGGCGTCAGTATCACAGGCTATGAACTTCAGTGGAAGCCCCACAGAGTTGGACATACCCACTTACATGGAACCCTTCGACGTTCCGGGGTCCCTATAAAAGGAGCATGTAACCAGGACCTTGCGAACGTCGAACGGTTCCATGTTATTTTGTGGCAAGCTAGTTCGCTTCCTCACCACACAGGGCACGCGAACTTCACGTGAGTCAACACCATCCCAGCCAATGGGTGCGGATATCCGCCTCAATTCTTGAAGCATGGGGGATGGATCAAGTTTCAATAGTGATGGGTTTTTATTATGACTCACTTTGTGTTAAACCGTTGACATGTCCCTTCCAGATGCCTCAGCTAAAGGTCATGGCATGAACAATAATTGGGGAAAAACACAAAACAGATTCCATATTTCTCACTACATGGGAAAAAGCCTATCCTTGGTCAAAACTGGCCCTAAATCGAATATGGATCAACTTCCCATTCCTTGGTCAAAACTGGGGGCCCATGCAATATATATATATATATATATATATATATAAATCAACCCCCCATTCCTTGGTCATTTGGGGGCCCTACATGGAATACAAATATATATATATATATATATATATACACATATAGTATATCAACCCCAAAGTAAAAAATACGGATCGATAGCTTCTGCTCACACCGGGCTCACACGATGCTTTTTCCGCACGTCTCAGGTCGCGATGCTGGGTGCCGTTGGCCCTGGCCTTGGATTTCCGAAATTCGAGGGGAGAGGTTTGGAGGAGATCTCGGCCCAGCTGGGTGCGGAGGTCATACGTACTCATGTTCTAGGTCCCCCAGTAGTGCCCTTTTACCAACTTTTTTGGCTGGGAGGATTGCCCTACAAAAGACTACAGAAAGAAGTTGGTGCCCTTCTTTTAAAACTCTTTAGTGGAGGTCCTAGAAAGGGCCCCTGCGGCTTGCTCGCGTTTTTCTGGCACCAAGGGGCACCAAGCAACAAGTGTTTGTTTCGGAGTCCGGCTCTGAATGCGAGAAATTGTGTTGTCCCTGGCACCGACCATGCAAATTGAAACGGAGTACCTGTCGGTGTCCAACTGAAACACCAATCCAAAGGAGGTTCCCCACCAAAAAAGACACGCCATGGGTGAAAGGAAGCCCCGAAAGGCCAAAGGACTTGGTTGAAGAAAAGCTTTGACACGGCGCAAATTCACTGACCCAGTAGCTGGGTTAGACAAGCCACGCAGGGATCGACGATACCTTTTTGCAAGCTTGACGTCAGGATTTGCCATTGGCAATCGTGCACCACTTTCTCCGCTTCCTCTACTCGGAAAGCACCAAGCGCTGAGCTCAAATCGCCGTGCGCGCTTCGGATGGAGTGCCTGTATGTGCCTGTGTTTCTTTGGCTTTGGGTTTGTTGTGTAGAGCATGGTTCAATCGTTTTGTGCTTCACACGTCACGCTCCGAGATCTAGGTTGCAGAGCTCCATTCCTTTCACACCCTTCGTTGAAAATGCCTCAGATAGCTGACATCTCGCCCAGGTTTGGTCAGCTTTCCCTGGACCAGCTGTACAGGCACGCTCGCGCAGGGATGCTCGACAGGCTCAGTGTGAAGCAGTTATTGTTATTCAAGGCTCCTTAAAAGATACAGCTTGCAACCATTTGAAACATGTTGCTTTTTCCACCAAACTAAAGGGAAACCACCATTTACAAGTTGCAATGTTCAGGTGTATAATGCATCCGGATCCCTGTTACTCTGGCTAACGGATGAGTTCATTCGGCATGTTCCAGGACATCACCATGCCGACAGTATGCCCGAACGCCGCTCCCAAAATCTCCGCCCAAAGCCTTTTCCAGGTATCGTTGACAACTTGAGTTGCGAGAACTACTCAAGAGATCATCTTCAAACCTGAGCTTAGCTGTTGTTTTGTGTGGTTTGCAGAGGTGCATGGAATAGACTAAGCACACAAGCCAGCCAGCAGGCAAACAAACAGATAGACAGACAGACAGACAGAGACAGACAGACAGGCAGAAAGGCAGAAAGGCAGACACAGACGCAATCAAGCAAACACACAATCAAACAAATACGCAAACAAGCAAGTAAGCAAGCAAACAAACAAGCAAGCAAGCAAACAAACAAGCAAACAAGCAAACAAGCCAGCACACAAACTCAATGCAAACAAAGAAGCAACAACCAACCAACCTACCTACCTACCTACCTACCTAACTACCTACCTACCTACCTGCCTGGCTACCTACCTACCTACCTACCTACCTGCTCACCTGCTTACCAACAAGCAAACAAGCAAACAAACAAAAACAAACAAACAAACAAACAAACAACAACCAAGCGCGCAAGCGCGCACGCACACACACACACTGTGCAACCGTGCAGAGATAGAGCCTTGTCTACATACAAGCAATAAAGGTAATGTGTTTAGCTCACTTTGTATCTTTGGCCCTTGCTAGTTTGGCCACTGAAATGTCAATGCTAGTCTTTGCGTAGAACCCATTCTCCTGGTGAGTTCCGCAATTGCATGAGGAATGGCTTTTTTTCAGTCATTGTTGTTTATGCCCTCTAGAATATCATGCTTCCGTGGAGGGACTTTATGTTGGATTTCATGCTAGTGGTTCGCAGGGTAGGTGCTGCGTTTGGATGTGAAGCTTGGATGCTGCCACTTAAGTTATTTCCTGCGGTATTCCCGGTTTCTTTGTCTCAAGTGATCATAATGCATTTATCATTGTTGTGCAGCTTTCCAGTCAGAGATACACCGGAAAAGGGGCATGGAACGAGGAATGTGTATATCAAAATGCTGGGCAAGTGGGAGGCTTGAAGGTCATACGTACTCATGTTCTAGGTTGCTAGTAGTGCCCTTTTACCCTGTTTTGGGGGGAGGCTTCCCCTACTTAAATAGACTAAAGAGAAAAGTTGGCACCCTTATTCTAACCTCTCTACTGGAGGACCTAGTGTTGGATTGGTTTGACGGCACATGCGTGAATTCAATTGCGGAGCATGCATTGCCTGACGTGTTCGAAATCGAGGCGTTGGCATGAAGACCTCGGGTTTCCATGGCATTCAGATCAGGCCGTCTGGGGGAATTTTGGCCCCGACATGTTGTTGTGAGCTGAGTTTGGATGCGCCTGCATCCATCTTCTTGGAACTCGTGTGACTTTACCGAAATCCATGGACTTCGGGCGCGGGACGGTGCTTGGTGTACTGGCCTGCCATCAAGCCGTCATTGCACTAAAATTTGTGAGCTTTTTCTATAGTCGAGTTGTTTTGGGTGGCTATGTGACACTCAGGGCCCATCCGATTTGTTGGCATCAATTATGTGTTTGTTTGTCGGAGAGAAGGATGTTTACGGTTTTGTTTCACATATCAATGTACGCACAGAAGTGTGTGGTTGTTACATAATATACAATATAAACATATATATATATATGCATTTAGTTCTAATCTGCCTCTGAACACCCGTACATATAAAGTCTTATATGTCTATACACATAGATCCAGCCAGTCATTCTGCTTCGCGGAGAACTTAGGCCCATTCAATCAGGCCGGCGACAAAGTCTAGCAACACTCTTTGTCACCTGCTGCGATGATACGGGATAATTGCAGCTTGCCCTCTTCCCAGCACGAATAAACTCTGATAGCACATGTTTGGAAACCTGTATCTTGATATGTTTCTGAAATTAATGTATCCAGTCTTGATGTTTGGGGGAATCACCAAACTCCAAGGAGCTGGTTCTGCGTGTGAAAGGCTTGCGCGCGGCCGGACGTCTGGCTCAAGAGCGAACAAGCACCAGTTTGCGAATCTTCATGCATTTTACCTCCCACTCTCGGCCTGTAGCTTGGCCGCGTTTCCAAGCGCGGGCTTCGGATGAGCTGAGGTTCTCTTGCCCAGGGTGGCGTCAGTGGCATTGAATCGGTCTTTGTCCAAACTTCAAAACACAAAGCAATAGCGCCTACGAGGGCTTGATGGCCATTGGCTATGGGAAAAAGGCGAACACCCTTGATCATTTTTTGTGGGAAGCAACTGGAGAGAAGCAAACATGCTGCCCGTGGAAATTGCGGCTTTCGGAATTTGCAGCAATGGCAATAGTTCGGCTGAGGCGTTTAACGTTCTTGCTAGCTGTTTGCGTCCAGCGAATGTGCTTCTCATGCGTCTTAATTAATGATCAAGAAAGAAACCCGGAAAAGACTTCCATCATTCATTCTAGAGCAATTGTCTAAAATACTGAGTTCGATTCGATAGGATTGGGTTATCCTTTCAGATCCAGTGACGTGTGGCCTCACCCAGGCTGCTGCTGGATGGTCGTTTGTGGCCTTGGCCGCACGCAGTGCATCCGTGATACGTTTTTACCGCGACTGAAGCCTGAGATGAGCCATAGACCTAATAGAACCCAAGCATAAATCGGTGCGGCCGTCCTGTTACATGGTTTCGTGTAGAGAAACCCTTGAATATTTGGTATTGATTGTAACTAAGATCGATGTTTCTTCGTGGGGAGGGGGGGGTGTATGTTTGATGCTAAGGAAGCCTTTGTGAGAATGTACACAAGGAAGTGCCTCCCCGCGGGAAGTTTGCAACTGGCGCCGGAACTGAACGCAAGGCTTTTGGATTGGCAGCTTGACTGCTGGTAGCCTGGTTTTTGCCAGGCTGCCTGAAAAATAAATTGTGCTGAAATGTATGTTGCTTTGACCGAAGTGTGCGGATTTCGGCTGTCTTTTGCAACACAACTGTGCCCACTCTTGCTCCCGAGGTGTTGTGCGATTGCTGATCCTTGTAGCTTGCACAGCAGCGGAGCGAGTGAGGACTGGGAGCAACCAGTGTAGCAAAGTGAGGGATGGGCTTTCGTCGGAGCGATTCACAGGAGTTGGCAATTGAGCCACAATCAAAACCCGGCAAGGTGAGCGTTAGGGATAGTCCCATCCATAAATGGGGGCAGCCGCTTTGCATATTCTTTACATGACTCTGGGTAGACCATTTTACGTAATACTAGGTTTTGATTGCGACGCAATTGAGGATTACTCGGCGCGTTGCCTTCTGCTTGTGACTGCAACTTGCAACTGCTTCTGTCATTATGCCTTTTCTTGGACACCTCGTGTAGTTGTCCCTGATTTTCTACCTGCAACTCATAGCTCCTTTCCTGCGGACCTCAAGCTACATAGAGACTTGCCTAACTAACTTTTCTACCACAGATAGATGTCAGTCGCCCTGTCGCTTTCTTTCGGACTTCTTCACTGCTGGCTCAAGCAATGTTCATTGCGTTTGAGCAAGACTCTTGCAAGAAGTTGCACCCGAACTTTGCAAGCTCAGTTCCAAGTGAGGCTGAAACACTGGCACAAAAAATGTGGTGTGGAAGATGCAACACGAACACGCGGTGGGCATAACGCGGACTGAAACAAATTCTGGGGTCACTTGGAGATTCCTCGGCAGGAATGAAGCACAGAGCGACCTTGGTCCGGGGCTTGGACCCGCATTCTTTGGACAGCATGGGTTATGGCGGCCGCATGCTTAAAATGAGCTGATGAATTCGCGGTTCTGCATCCAGCTTGGCATAGTTTGGGCCTCCTAGGGAATGTGTGACAAGCAAGCATTCGGCGGCCACGCAAACCCGAGAAGTCTGAATGTGATGTGGACATGTTTGACTGCTTCAGATGATAGTTGGCATTCACTCAATTAAACGTGTTGGCTTTCAGCGTACCAACATTCATGATTCGAACATCGGGTGAGTAACTGTGGAGCCCGGGAACCCAAATTCAGAACAGAAGAAATGCATTCAAGACAAGACAAGTGTTCTTGTGGATTTTACCTTAAATCAAACATTTAAATGGTTGCAGAATACCCAAAACACACTCTCTTCGCGCCGTGCCACTCGGGTAAGTCCTCGCAAGACTCGCAGCTGCGTCCCTTCTGCGTCACATGCCGGGCATTCGCCTGCCGGGCACAGGCCATGCGGTTCCGCACTTTGAGGCCCCCATCGTCACCCGCCCCGGAGCCATTAACCACACGGACGCACCGCAAAAGCGTCACGGCCGGCACCGGCGCGACGCCTGCCACGGCGGGACAACAGCCGGCCCTAGGTCCTTTTTGCCTAGAGTCAACCAAACGAGAGCGGGGTTGTGTGGGAAATATGAAATGGAGGGCGATTGTTTCTGATCTGCCCGGACAGTCCTGCAGACCATGTTTGACTTCTTATTACCTTTGTGGGCGTGGATTCATCCCAAATACCATGACTTAGCATGCTGGTGTGTGTTTTACCGGTTTCAGCATACCTGCAATTACAACTACGCTCGTATAGGCACCTTCCCACGCTGTGGTGCAACATGCGGTTCGTTCGCGATGCATGCTGCGATCAACCATGCATATTTCTAGAGAGGTTTTGAACAAGTGCCAAGTTTGCATGATGGTCTCATCGGGCTGTGAGTCCTGGTGTATTTGGCTATGGGGGCGACGCCTTGCGTTCAATGCCCGGTTCAATTCATGTTGAACTGGTTGTTGAATTGGACTGACGTTCGCTACTGGTCGCTCAAATACCCCTTGATCATCGAACTACAACTACAACTACAGCTACTACCTACTACAACCTTTTACTGCTACTCTACTACCAACTGCTACCTTCTTTTTCCTACTACCACCTACCACCTACTACCACCTACTACCACCTATTACTAACTACTACCTCCTCCTCCTCCTCCCCCCACTACTATTACTACTATTACTACTACTGCTACTACTGCTACTACTGCTACTACTGCTACTACTGCTATTACTGCTACTACTGCTATTACTGCTACTACTGCTAGTGATGCCTACCACTACAACCACTACTGTACTACTCGTGGGGCCAGCTTGGCGACCTATTGAACAAGTGCTGCCGTCAATGCTTATTGAACAGAACGTAGTGCAGGGTAGGGACACACAAAAGCCCTTCTTAAACACTTGGGTGGTCAATAAGCGAAATCAATAAAGAGAAGACCCTGGCAGCCAATTGGGGCCAGAATTGGGTCTGCCCACCAAGTGCTTTTTGGTAAAATAATGTGACACGTTGTTTTGTGCTGGCCCAGTGCTGTTATTTTTGCAATCGGTCGAAATCCAGGTTTGTGCGCTGAAGCAATTCGACAATTTCTGTATTTTCAGGTCAGGAGACCTACGCAATCCAGCGATATCGATAGCCACGGCTTCACGGTTGGACCCTCCCATCTCAAGGCCCTGGCCCCGAGCGCTTCCTTCGCTTTTGCTTTTGCCAGAGGGAACTAATTCGATCGCCATTGCTACAGTTGGCAGCGAAAAGATTCGGCTGGATGGACTTTTGTTTGTTCATCATCATGATGTCGGTGATTGTGTGCGAACTCAGGTGGTCATGCTCGGCTGCAAATCAACAGCGTGGACAAGGTGCCGTGCTGAGTCTCGCGGGGCAAGCAGAACGGGGCAAGGATGGGACCAGCTGAAACCAGTCAGCCAGAACATCGCTGGTTCCGCACGAACTAGCGCACCGACATGTGGGCAAGCTGGCAAGCATCATGTAGCAGGTACACCTGTACAGTTTCACGCACCTGAAACGAACAGGTCCAAAATTCAAGGCGACACCCATGCTGCTCCTCTGTCTTTTGTTTCATCCGAAAATTCCTGGGCATATATACAAATAATATATGCCCCCCCCCCCCCAAAGACCCTTGTTTTGGTGCCTTTTAGTGATGATGAATCTGGAATCTAGACAATCAAATCTCAAAAGATCCAATTTTGGGCCCCCAAAGCCTCGTAGTGCGGAGCCCGGAGTCCTCCATGTCCCAACATGCCATCCTTTACTGATAAGATTTTACTTTAACTAGAAATGGAGCTGTGAATAGAGCATAGGATATATAGGTTTTATGTTCAATATAACTTGAACAAACAGTTCCTAATAGGAGTGATATCAACATGTAAATATATATTCGGGTAAAATCCAACTAATCTTGAGCAACACAAATAGATGAGTTTATTGCCAAATATAATTCAACAGTGAAATATAGCCCAATACAAAACTTATCCTATTAGCTTTTGATAACAATTTAAATAGAAACTAATTCTAAATTATCATTCATATTGAATATGGCTAACCATTTGTGCAAGGGTCAAAACACGTTATGTAGAGGTCTTCATTGCGGCCGCCGTGACATGACTGTTTTTTGAAAAACATGTGTGTAGCGACAGGGGGCCTTGAGTAGCGACACCCCTGTTTAGGGCTTGCATGTATGTAAGTCCCCATGGAACATGTTTGTAAGTACCTTTTTACTTGCATGGGAACGGAAGTACGTGCTGAACACATCGTGGAAGTCTAAGTCCCGGCTGCGACGCAAGACAGGTTTGAAGGATCTCGTCTTGGCAGTTTGAGCGTTCCAGTTTAAGAGGTGCTCCGTCGCCTTGGCGGGGACAGGCGACGATGCAAGCAAAAAAGAGGCACTGTGCTTTTGAAGTAGGGTTCCGGCAGCCCCTGGGAAAAAATCCGGCACCCGTAGCGACACCCAAAGCGACACCTTTCAGATTATGGAGCGACACCCAAAATCCCTTCAGGTAGGCAGTTGCCCCTTCGCGTACTACACTTGTACTACAAAGTTGCAATTTTCAAGCTGGGGCTGCGGACGTGTACTTCGCGTGCTACACTTGTACTACAAAGCTAGGAGCATGTCCTTGACGTAGAGGAGCCGGCGGGAAGTGACCGTCCCGTGTGTCGAGCAAGCACTACCATCTCTTCCGCAGTAGCCCATGGGGAAAAGGCATGAAAGGAAGGAGGTTGAGGCAAGCCTCATGTACTACTTTGGTGCTGAAAAGCTGAGACCTTCCAGCCGAGATGCGAGAAATGAGCTGGCACTGTGTGTAGCGACAGGGGGCCTTGAAGAGCGAC